GCATTGTGACTTCAGATGCGGGAATATGCCAGGAATGGAGAGTTTCCTCCTGATGGATTTATGTGCCCAGGCGGATGGCAAGTTTTGGTCAACTATTATAAAAGCTTGCAAGCAGAAGAAACCGAACAGTCTGCTGCTACTGCTGTATCTGTTTAAAGAACTCCGAGAGAACATTAAAGGACAACATTCTCTTATGCTAAATTCACTAATTCAATCCTATACGTGTATCTAGAAGCAGCAGCTGATGATGTTTGCAAAATGGTATAAAGATGTAATTTCTACTGATTTTTATAGATTTTAGATTATGAATATAATTTATCATATTATGTTGGTAAGCCCGATAAATGCAAAATCTAGGTCTGTCAATTTGGCTCGTTGTTCGCGAACAGCTCGTGTTCGACTTGCTAAGCAGCTCGTGTTCTACTCGTTCGTTAAGTCTAACGAGTCAAACACGAACAAATTTTTAAGCTCAAAATGTAAACAAGCCGCACATGAACAAAAGTTTGTTCGCTCGTGTTCGGATCGACCCTGCGGCCCCAGCTTTCGCCATGCTTTTATTCTAATTTGATCCCCACGTCGTTTCTACCCTGCGTTCCGCCAGCCATCTCGCCATCTCGCCTGCCCAACACCGCGACTCCGCGCCTCCTTCTCCCTTCGCCGCTGCGTTGAATCACCCAAGCCTTTGCAATCTCAAGCCCGAGCACTCAACTTATTCTCAATCGCACGAAGGATCCCTTCTGTGACAATCGTTCTACAATATACAATACCAACAACTTTGTTGTCCATAAAGTAATCAAATAGGTTCATGTTTAATTTGAGATGTGCTTTTTAGAAGATTGTTGCCTCTTAATCAAATAGGTTCATGTTCAATTTGAGATGTGCTTTTTAGAAGATTGTTGCCTCTCATATCTCCAATTCAGAGGAAAAGTCAGGATATTCTAACAAAAGATTTGGCTCTTCATTTTTCTTATTGTTTTCTACTAGGTTGAAGCTAACTGATATATATGATCTAGCTTAAAGGGGAATACTAATGTTGGAAATATAAAATTTGGAAAGCATTCCATGTTTTTTTAGGGGTGTATATATATATTTTGTTATTATAGGATTTTGTATTAGTCTTTAGTAATAAATAGATGTCTTTAAGTGAATAACAAAAAAAAGACAAAAAAAAGGAAAAAGTTTTCCTCTTTTAACATTGGCGGTAAAACTTGATTTCATTATTTATTCATACTAAGGATGGTGTTATTGCACCCTTTATACTTATGGATTGATATTATGATGCATTTATAGGAGTTTTTTTGGAATTTTGATATGTAACCACTAATCTTTGTTCACTAATCTAGATCAATTTGGCTAGCGAAAAAAAAAAAAAAAACATTAGTTGGGAAAGCATTTATTCGGCATCTACCCACCGTGACAACTACAACTTATGCAAACTTCTCAAAAGCTTCTCAAAAGCACAAATTTTTTAAACTTCTAGATTTATATTTTTAAATGGCACAAGCAACATCACCCAAAAAATATGACAACGATTGATGTGTAATCAACAATATTTGTCATAATCTTAGTGCATTTTTTTATAGTAATGACCACTCTATATTCAAATTCTAGATCATATGGAGTTCTAATTTTAGAAATTTTATATCAAATTGGTTGTATCAATTTGGTTGTCTTGACAAGACAAAGTCAGTGTTTTCAAAGTTGGGCCAATCCATGTCTAATTAAACCCATATCAGGCAATTAAAGCATATTTGGAGCCTTTCAAATATTAATTGAATGGTTAAATGAACTCTAAATTGGACATACCTATAGTCTAATCGAGTCTCTCAATAAGAGGAAGCCAATGGGTCTAAGCTCGCATAATTCTAAAATAATACCCTCAAATTATTAGAAAAACCTATAATTAAAGGGAGATGAATATGGGTAAATATGGGTCTACAAATATGGTGGTTACATAAGTTATTAGTCGAGGAACCAAAATGCTCCTTTCCTAGAAGCAACAAATACACACACTCACTTCACTTTTCATGACGTTCTAAATTGAAAACTCGGTCCTAACTTTTAACATCCACTGTCGCTGACCACCATCAACCATCATCCACTAGCCCCCACCAACCACCAACGAACATCCTTATTCATGGCCACGAACTCTATTTGCTATTGATGTATCATAAATATTGTTGTAACTAATAATGTTGTATTAATTAATAATGTTGTATTAATTACCTTGACGATAACTTCTTGCCTACATAGCCGCTGATGACTCCTACTTGCTAATGTTGTATCTCAAATATGAATGTATTGTATAATGCAAGCAGTGATATCCTCCAACCTCCATAACTGCCGATGACCCTTAATTGGAAACCCGACGATAATCTCTGGCTTGTGTAACTACTGGCCATCATCGATCACCGTGATCGTCACTACCGGCCGCCAACGACTAGCCACTGGCGACCACTGCTTAAAATATTTGTAGCCCAAAAAAGAAGGTTATTATGAGTATCTGTATTTTCTTTTACATTTTATAAAGATAAATGTAGTTTTCAATATTAATTTGTAACCCTTTTCTCTTTAAAAGAAGTGGTCCATACGCTAATTACGACCCAAATAGCCAACTAACGCCACTACAACTTCCAAATATGACTTTTGTGGCCAACTGTCAATATCATAGTCACAGACTAGAACCTTTGTGGCCAAATGATGCTATTGTAGTAATGATTTATGGCCTTTGTGGAAAATTAATGTTATTACAGTCACCAAATATGATCTTTGTGGGTAACTGAAGCTACTATAGGTTAAAACTATGAATTTTGTGACCAACAGAAGCTATTTCAATGACCTACTACAACCTCTAAAGCTGATGGATACTATTACAACTTCCAACTAGAGCATTTTTTTCAACCACCACCTACAGCCTCTATGACCAATTGTTGTTATTGCAACTACTGACTACAACCGTTATGGTCACAACCGTTATGGTCACAACCGTTATGGTCAACTACAACCTTTGTAGCAACTAACTTTGACCTTTTTGGCTAATTATTCCTATTATAGTCAAGAACTACCATTTTTGTAGCCTAATTATGGTTATTATAGCTAAAATATAATTTTGCATCTATTATTATCAGATTTATAATTTTATCTTCTCTAATTTAGAAGAGGATTGGACTTATGTACTTACAATTGTATAGTCGATCTCTTTGACTTTGTTAAACCCTTGATTTTTTTTCCTTTTTGAGGTTTTTTCATATAAAAAAGCTTCAAGTCTACTCATGTTTCTTTTTAATTATCGATGTGTGTGTGATGAATCTTCGTACAACAGCAAGAATTTAAATTATAAGTCTACCACTATGAATCTTCTGACATGTAACGATTATAATCATAATTCTATTATTAAATTTTATGGACTTGATTCCTTCTAATTATGTTTTAAACTTCACTATTCTCTTATTGTCCATTTTAGTTGATGCATCATCAATTTCGTCCATCTATTTAAAATAATTGTAATTATCTTCCTATCATATTCTTGAACATATGTAAGAGTACATTTCACCATTCTAGCTTCTATAACAAGTTAATGACAGGCATATTAAGTTCCATCCACAAAAAAACAATATTATTTTTAACGTCTATTAAAGTTGATGAATGACTTAAACTCATCTTAAGAAAGATGACACCTAATGGTATCAAATTCAATGATCAAGCCTTAATAACAAAACAAAAAAAATGGATAGGAACAGGCTTAAAATCACATGTTCCCTTCAGCCACAATTGCCCGAGCATCAAAATAAATACATTACAAAAAATGATTTAAAATCATGATTGATATAAAACTTAGTTCGAATCATTACAATAAGAGATTTATTACCATCATATAGACAAGATAATTTGATAATGAAAGCTTTACGAATATTCATATTTAAAATCATGAATGGTGATGTATAAATTCTCATTTGCTAGTTTACTTAGCTTAAATGATTTTGCTATATATAGTATATTGGTGTATTGTAGAATTTACTTACAATTAGAAAATTTATTCGATGAAGCAGATATTTTTACGGATAATTACATGCTATTTACAAAATTAACCCTCCTATTGTTTTTTTGAACTACCAAACTCATGCATTTACCAGTTACATGATTTGGGAATTTGAAAAAAAAATATGTAAAATGTGTTTTATGTTCTACCATAAATTCTGTTATTTGAGTGGAAGCTTATGCATAATGCATATACTTATCAACCTTGTGAGTGATATGTATGCAATTGTCTAAATTCTAATTTCTACAAACTTATGATTAAAACTGAGTCGTCAATTGTGAAGAACTCAAAGACATCAAGAAAATTAAATCCATATAATTGAAAAATTTTGGGCACATAATTAACATCAGCGTTCTCCGGTATCTCTAACCGTTAATCCACTTTTTCCGTCACCGCTAATTTTTCTAACAAACTGCTAATGATGAAAGTCAGGGCTCAATGTGTAAATAACAAGTTTCGGGTGGCTTGTATGTAATTGTCCCAATTGAATAGATGAACCCCACATGAACGTTGAGTATTTTTGCCTGGCCCTCCTTCCCTTTCCCTGTTCTTCTTCTTCCTCTGCTAAGCTTCTCTCCCACCCTATCGTGCTCGTCCAACGAAGCCCTTAAGAAGCCTTTTTTTATTGTTTCCACGAATAATTTTCTGGTTGGAGCCCAATCGGTTTTCAAATGCTTTCTTCTGCAGGTCATGGAGTGACTGACGGGGGGCGGTTAGAGCTAGCGGGCGACGGGGAGATAAGACCCAAACGCTCCCCTGCGAGACCGCCACGTTGTCACGACTTTTCTTTTCCGACGATGAACTGGAGCGGTCAACGGTTTCTACGCTGTGTGAAACCAATCTCGAGGGGTGGTGGTTCAGGTAATCGATCGAGTGATCTGGATACCCAAATAGAGCCCCGAGGAAAGAGGAAAGCTTCTTATTCTCCTGTTAGTGCTCTTCCCATGTCGTCTCAGCCCAAATAGAGCCCCGACGAGAGAGGAAAGCTTCTTATTCTCCTGTTACTGCTCTTCCCATGTCGTCTCACTCTGGCGGGGAGAAGGAAAAGGAGGCGGAGCAGGACAATGCTCCTTCTACCGCTGCAGGAGAGGCTGTTGCTGCACCGATGGCCTGTCCGTGGAATCTGAGGAAACGAAAAGCTGCGTGTCAAGCTCCATTGGAGAACGGAAGGAACAAGTACCATTGCTCATCACCTTCTAATCCGCCGTTGGGTAAATCCGTTATGCGAAGATCGGCGGTCGGCGAAAATGGCCGGCGGAAGAAGTTTTCTATTTCGTTATCTCGAGCGGAGATCGAGGAGGACTTTTTGATGTTCAAGGGGACGAAGCCCAGTCGAAGACCTAAAAAGAGACCCAAGGCCATCCAGAGGCAACTCGATGTAAGAGGAAATTTCATATTTTGAGCCCATAATTTTCATTCTTGGTCGTGGTGGTGGCAATTTTGATTGTATTTGGATTAATTTTGATCTCTAATTTTGAATTTATGTTCATTGTTGTAGGACTTATTTCCTGGCGTATGGCTGTCGGAGATTAATGCAAACATGTATAAAGTAGATAAATGAGTTGATTCTTCATTTTTCTTTTTCATAGTTCTACGAGAAAATTTGAATCAACAAGAATAGGAAATAATCCTCTATCCAGAAGATGCAAGAGGGGGTATGACATTCTGCATTGTTAGAGTGGAGGCTCTTAAGAATTCTAAGATTCTGATTTTCCATAGTTATTGTTATTTCGTAGCTTCAGTTAGAATCGCACTTCAGTTTATGAATAATGTTCTTAGAATTAATATATGAGATTATAAATTGCAATTTTACTTCTCTTACTTTTTACTTGCATTTCATTCTTTACTTATTTGACTCTCTTATTTTTCTTGATTGACTTGTCCTTGAAAAAAGTTCTGCGTGTAGTGTTTTTCGTAATTCATAATGCTTGAGGATTTAATTTATATAAATTATTTCATACTACACTTCGATATGTGAAAACTGGCGTTAGAATCGTCATGACAACAAAAAGATGCCAGCTAATTTTCATTTGATTTTGTAGTTTTTTTTTTAAGATTAATTACTATTTTGAAAGAAAATTACAAAATTTTAATAAAATATTTGTCTTTGGCCTTGGGAAATTACAAAATTTTAATCATTCTAATTTTCACTTGATTTTGATTTATATATAATTTTTAATGCTTTTTTAATGATTAAATGATATTATTTAAACTCTAAATTAATTATGGGTTAACTTGCCTTAGTTTATTTTAATTTTATTTTCCTTATTTTATTAAGTTCTTAGGATTTAGTTGGTATTTTTTAGGATTTTGATGTAATTAGCTATGAATTTTTAAAGATCCATAATTTTTTTATTTAATTAATTAGGAAATCCTAGATTTATCTTGTTAAGATGCTCACTGACTCAACCACAAAGTTAACCTCAGCAGATGCTAAACTCCACGCATCGATCCGTGGTTGACTTCTTTTTTCAAGTTGGCATATGATCTTGTGCATTGATCCATCTCATGGTTCCTTTTTTGATCTAATCTACACCGTCACTTTGAAATACGTAGAAACAGATGGCATTCGTTCATCATCCCGAAAGGGACAGTGAATGAGAAACCATCCAATGTCAAATGGTTGATCCAAGTGATCCTATGCACAAAGCTAAGAACCAACGCATCCAAAAGGACCTCTAGGCTCTAAAGTTCACATCATATAGCTAAAGTTGTAAGACATGATGGTTCTCTTCATAAAGGACTAAGACCGGGCATCAAGATGAAGTTTTGAGCTTATTCCTTGACCCAAGAAGTTTGGTTTTGATTTTGTGCTTGATTTATCGTCGTTTGGATCCAACACACCTCCCCTGAGTTCTAATTGAAGTGATGTTGATTTATTGTATGAGTTTGAACAGAAGGCTCCACGAGTTGGTCTGTATGCTGGTTAAAGGGCTTGAGACGGAGGCAAAATGATGGAGGAATTTATTTTATGGATTGGGGAAGCATATGGAAGAGTCAATTTAAAATTTTGGTGATTTTGACTTAGAAAATATTTTGGTTCATTGAGGCTTGAAAAAGTCAACGGAGTAAGAGCTGAGGTAGTGCTTAATAATGATGGAGATTTAATCAGAGAGACTGGCTAAGTAATTTGAGAGAATTTTTGGCAAAGTTTGGGAAGGGATCGAGAAATATGGCTTAAATGAGGAGCTCTCGAGTTTGGACTTTAAATAGCCATATGAGGACACGGGGAGCTTGTTCTGGCTTTAAGGAGCTTATTTTGGTCCTTGGAAAGGAACTATTAGGTTGGGGTGGGTCCTTTGGGTTTGCGTAAGTGGGTCATGATGGAATTTTTCTTAGATTGGTGATTTTGGGTGGTTTTGGGTTACACGGGTGATCTCATTTTGTCATGATCTAAGATAGTTATAAGCATGGGTTTGGTCACTTCAATAGCTTGGAAATTTTTTTATTTAACTTGGCATGTGTTTTCTTGGTGCCTTGCGTTTGGCTTGGTTTTGGATTGAGTTGATTTGTCATGAGGTTGATTGGCTTGGGTTTGTCTTACCTTGAAAATTCGGTGGCTTCTCATGAGGTGGTTTTGGCTTGGTGGCTTAACTCATGGGGTGGACTTGGTGGATTTGGGTTTACTTGGGTGAGGCCTTGAAGTAATGGATTTGGCTTGGATGAGGTGTATTTAAATTTTTGTGATTTTAGTCTGATTTATTTTTTTTTTATTTTTTTAGTTTAATTTTCATGGTTTTAATAGATTTTGAATTTTGATTGTTTTCACTTTGGTGAATTTGTTTAATTTTAATTTTGATTGATATTTGGAGTTTATAATTTTAATAGATTTGCTTATATTTAACTTTAATTTGAATGTGATTTTTAGTGGACTTGAAGATTCGATTTAAATTTGGTTCGTCTTTGACATTAGTTTTACTTGGTGGTTTTAATTTTGTGATTTTAGTTTGGTTGAATTTTGTTGTTAACTTTGTAATTTTAATTTGTTGTTCAATACAAGAATTTTTGTGATGTGTGATTTAAGTTTTAATTTTGACTTGGGTCAATTTGATCTTCAATTTTGATTTTAATTTTATTATCTTTATTATTTTCACTTTGTTAACTTTAAAATTATTGGTTTGGACTTTAGTTACATTTTTAGATGACTTTATTTTAATTTTTATTTTACTTTGAAGTTTTAATAGGTTTTGGTTTTAATTTATACTTGATTTGATAATTTTATATTTATATTTTGAACATTTCAATTTTGTGATTTTAATTTGATGAATTTAATTTTTATAATTTTGGTAAATTCAATTTTCTTGATTTTATTTTTTACTTCGGTGAATTTATTTTAATTTTTATTTCAGTCTTTGAGTTTCGATTTTAATTAAGTTTTTAGGTCAATTTTCATATAAATTGGACTTCCTTGATTTTAGTATTGTTTTCATTTGGTGTTTTTTATTTTATCTTCTCTACCAGTAAAAGATGAACTCAATCTCTGTTCAAAATGAGCCTCATACCCAATGAGTTCTCTATGAACTAAAGAAAAGGTTATATAAGGAGTTAGGAGATGGAGGTGCAAAGTGCCCAGTAAGAGAGACAAAAATATGTGACCTGGGTCATTAGGTTCAAAGGGTAGCTAAAAACATTTTCAAGTCTATAAGAATTCAACCTAAGCTTCAATAATTACCACCTTCCTACGATCGCTACCACCACTGAAGTATTGTTGTCTGACCACCACCATCACTTTTAGACTACATTTACTCAGCATCCATCGACCCTGACAACTAAAATTGATCCAAACTTCAGGGAGTGCACATGACAACTCAAAAAAAGAAATTATACATATTTTTTTAAATTTCTAGAGTTTTGTTTTTAGTGCCACAAGCAACATCACCCAAAAAAAATGACGACGACTAATGTGTAATCAACAAATTTTTTTCATCTGCCACGAATCTTAGTAGATTTTTTAGTAATGTACACTCTAGATTCAAATTCTAAATCATCCAGAGCCCTAATTTTAGAAATTTTATATCAAATTGTTTGTCTTGACAAGTCAAACTCGATGATGTCAAAGTTGGGTCAATCCATGTCCAATTAAGCCCATTTCAAGTCATTAAAGCATATTTCAAGCCTTTAGATCATTAGTTGAATGGTTAAACGAACTCTAAATCGGGCATACTTATAATCAAATTAAGCCTCTTGATAAGAGAAATCCAATGAGCCTAAGCTAGCATAATTCTAAAATAAGGCAATAAAATTATTAAAAAACATATAATTAAGGGAGATAAATATGGGTCGTCAAATATGGTGGTTACAGAACTTATTTGTCAAGGAACCAAAATGCTCCTCCCCTATAAGCCACAAGTAATCACACTTTCTTCACTTGCCATGATGTTCTAAACTGAAGCCCTGGTGAAAACTTTTGGCCTCCATTGCCGCTGACCACCATCAACCACCATCTGCCAGCCATCGCCAACCACTACCGGATGCCCTTGTTCACAGCCAATGGGGAACTCTAATTGCTAATGATGTGTCACAAATATTGTGTAACTAACAATGTTGTATTGAAGAACCGACGATAACTTCTTGCCTGCATAACCGCTGATAACCCTCACTTGCTAATGTCGTATCTCAAATATGAACATAATGTGTAATGACACATTTAAGAACCAGTGTTATCTTCCAGCCTACATAACTATTAATGATCCTTACTTGAAAACCCGATGATAATCTCTGGTATCAGTAACCACTGACCACCATCGATCACCGTGATCGTCACCACCGGGCTGCAGCCAACCACTGGCCACTGGCGACCACTGCTTGAAATCTTTGTACCCCGAATAAGAAGGTTATTATGAGTATATATATTTTCTTTTACACTGTATAAACATAAATGCAATGTTCAATATAAATTTGTAACTATATTCTCTCTAAAAGAAGGGGTCCATATGCTAATTACGGCCCATATGGCGAACTAACGCCACCACAACTTCCAAATATTGCCTTTGTGGCTAACTGTCAATATTATCGTCACAGAATACGACTTTTGTGACAATTGATGCTATCGTAGTCATCAATTATGGAATTTGTGGACAATTAATGTTATTACAGTCACCAAATATGATTTTTGTGGTCGATTGAAGCTATTATAGGTTCGAAGTATAAACTTTGTGATCAACAAACGCTATTTCAATGACCAACTACAGCTTCTAAGGCCGATGGATACTATTACAGCTTCCAACTAGAGCTTTTTTTTCTTAACCATCACCTACATCCTCAATGACCAACAGTTTCTATTGCAACTATTGACTACATATTTTATGGCCAACTACAACCTTTGTAGTAACCAAATATGATCTTTTTGGCTAATTATTTCTATTATTGTCAAAAACTACCTTTTTTGTAGCCTAATTATGGCTATTATAGCTGAACTACTATTCTACATCTGTGATTATCAGATTTGTAATTTCATCTTCTCTAATTTAGTAGAGGATTGAATTTATCTACTTACCATTCCATAGTCGGGCTCTTTAATTTGGTTATGCCCATGGTTTTTTCCCTTTTTGAGGTTTTTATATACAAAAAAGCATAGAGTCTCCTCCTATTATTTTTCAATTATCTATATGTGTGTGTAATGAATCTTCATGCAACGATAAGATTTTAAATTATCACTCTATCAATGTGAATCTTCTGACATGTAACTATAATCATAATTCTATCATTAAATTTTATAGACTTGATTTCTTCTGATTATGTTTCAAACTTTACTATTCTTTTATAATTCATGTTAGTTGATGCATCATCAATTTCGTCCATCTATTTAAAATAATTATAAAATAATTATAATTATCTTCCTTTATCTTCCTATCAATTTCTTGAACATCTGTAAGATTGCATTTCACCATTCCAGGTTCTTTAACTAGTTAATGACAGGAATATTAAGTTGCATTCACAATAAATGATATTATGTTTAATGTCTCTTAAATTTGATGAATGACATAAACTCATCTTAAGAAATATGACACCTAATGGTATCTAATACAATGATTAAGCCTTAAAAAATAATGGCTAGCAATAGGCTTAAAATCACATTTTCCCTTCAACCACAATGGCTAGCAACAGGCTTAAAATCACATTTTCTCTTCAACCACAAATGCTCTAGCATCAAAATAAATACATTACAAAAAATGATTTAAAATCATGATTGAAATAAAACTTATTTGAAACATTATAACAAGATAATTTTATAAAGAAAGCTTTGCAGATTTTCATATTTAAAATCATGAATGGTGAAGTATAGCTTCTCATTTACTAGTTTTCTTAGCTTAAATGATTTTTTTTCTACAGTCTAATTAAAATTCAGTTTTTTTTAAAACCCCACAAGGGTTTTGATTTAAAACCTACATTAAATGCAGAATTATAATGAACAATAAATTGAAGATAGAAAAAAAAGTACAAGAAAAATTCTAAAAGATAGTTGATTGTTTTATTCGACAATAATCTGCCATACACTATTTTGGGGCACTCCCTTGATATTTATCCTGTTGGTTATCAGAAAAACTCAAAAGGGTTGTTAAACTCTAAGTAGGATTTAGTAAATCTTGTAACTGCCAATTTAGTAAATCATGAGGCGTTTAAATATTGAAAATTTAATAGTACGACAGCTATTAGATATGTTCAATTCTCTAAAATTATTTGATAACTTATCATTGAAATACAAATGTAATGTTACAAATGTAATGTTATATTGTATATTATATTGTATAGTCAAAAATAGCCTACATGGATTTCAAGGCAAGCCAATAGTCGGATACCTCACTTTAGTAAATGGGCTAAGCTCTCTCCCTAAGCTACGCCATTTCAGTCCAGCGACCAAGTCTCTCCTTTGGCTAACCTTTCTTCAATGAATATCAGTTGGCCGAACTCATTAGACGGGCTACCACATCTCAGTCGCCAGACATTCTTCTATCACTCGGATAGCCACGCTAAAGCAATCATCATCTTAAAGAAATTCACATATAAGCCACTTAATTTCTTATGTATTGAATGTGTTCTTTTGATAAATATGATAAAACATAAAAAATTCATCTAGTTTATGCTGTCAATATACAAGAAAAATATAAAAATATATAAACTATTAGATACAGTTATAAAATAGACAAAAAGTGGAGCTGTAGGACCAAGGCAAAGAAACATGAACATGAAAGTCGGCATCGATCCCAAAACAATGCAACGATCGAAATAAAAAGGACCAAAATGTCATTTCCTTCTCTCTTTCAAAACAAGACCAATTATTTAATTTTTATATAATGTTTACCGCTCATATCTTCTATGAATAGAAGGACTTCATGATGTAAAATGGACTAGAGGGCACCCCTCAATTATAACATCTGATTTTATGGAATAAAAATGTATCCACGAGCTCGGGAACACCCCATTTCTCAACACGCCTAAAGACGGTGTAACAACGCGCCCCAAAGACAGTGTAAGGTTGTACTTTGAATATGATGTAAAAACGCAACATAAAGATGGTGTAACAATGCATCACGGGTACGATGTAACACCTTGCAATAATAACTTACAACAGTCATACTCTGAGTGTAGTGACCTTCCCCAAAATCTTAAATATCTTCTCATAGCTTACGCAGCTCCCAACTCCAGCCTTTATGACCTACAAATATTATTACAGATCAGTACTACGACCTATGGGACCATCTATGACCTACGTTGCTCATAGGTAATGATACTCCTAAATTTGGCCTCTATGACGTATGAAAGTTATTGTAGCTCACTACCTTCTACGACCTAAGTGGTCTACAACTCATTAAGCTCCAAACTTTGGCCTTTATGGCCTACGGACATTATTGTAACTCATCGTTATCACCTATGTGACCAACTATGACTTAAGTGGTCTACATATCATGCAACTTCCAACTTTGTCTTCTATGGCCTATGGATGTTATTGCAACTCACCATTATAGTTTGCACGAACAACTATGGTTTATGTGGTTTAAAGCTCTTGCAACTCCCAATTCCAACTTCTATGGCTTGCGAACATTATTGCCGCTCACCACCATGACATATGTGACCAACTGCGGCTAACGTGGTCCAAAAGTCATGTAACTCCCAACTCTAACTTCTACGACCTACAGACGTTATTATAGTTCACCACCATGACCTACGAGACTTATTATGACTTGATTGTCCACAAATCACGCAGCTCCCAACTCTAGCTTCTATGGCTTACGGATGCTAACACAGCTCGCACAGCTCTCCAATACGACTTATGTGACCAACTACAACCTACGTGGCTCAAAACTGCTGCAGCTCCATACTTGGACCTCAATGGCCAACCGACGCCCTTGAAACAACCCTCTACGACCTACATGACCAACTACTATCACAACTTTCATCTATGGTCTTTACGACCAGCTAACACTACAATCACCGTCTACAATATTCATGACAGCCTATTTCATTCATAACAATTGACTGCAGTCTTTGTTGCCTGTTATAACTATTATTTTTGAACTATAGTTGTATATCAACATTATAATTTCATTTTATTTAATTCAAGAGGAGTGTGAGTTTATGTACTTACTTGCAATTGCATGGTGAGTTATTTCATCTAATCCTGACCCCATGGTTATTTTTCTTTTTTAGAGTTTTCACAAAAAAAAATCGATGTTTCTTCTTCTACATAAATTTTTTTGGTATGTATTGGATCTCTATCATTTGCTACGATGTTAAATTATTATTCTATCATCGTGAATCTTAAGACATGCATTAATATTATTCTAGTAAAATAAATAAATAAATAAATTTTTTTTCATTCGACGAATTCAAGCCACCTGCAAAAGTAAGATTTTTCAAGGTGTAGTGCTGACTTTTGCTATATATATAATATATTGGTTTATTGTAGAATATTATGATGTATTAACAATTAGAAGTTTTATTCGATGAAGCAGATATTTTTGCGTATAAACACATGCTATTTACAAATTAACCCTCCTATTTACAAAATACATGCTTTGGGAATTTGATAAAAAAAATGTAAAATGTGTTTTATGTTCCACTATAAATTCTGTTATTTGAGTAGAAACTTATGATTAAAATTGAGTCATGAATTATGATACTCTAAGACATTAAGAATATGGGTGTAAACGAGCCGAACACGACAAAGCCATGCTTAGCTCGTGTTCGGATCGTTTATATTTCGGGCTCAAAAAGTGTGTTCGTGTTCGGCTCGTATGTTTAACGAGTCAAACACGAGCTGTTCACGAACAAAGAGTCATTTTAACAAACCTAATCATGTAGCCATATAACAACAAGGGTTTGAACAAGATTTAAAAATTATTTTTATATTAAAACATCATTTGAATCAAATTTAAGAATTTTTATTCTATTTTCTTAATCAATATTTTAATTGATTATAAATCTTTGTAGCCTTGTAGTCAATTAGATTTTTTTTAAATACTACTTTATATACCCTATATATATATATATAAACTTGATGAGTAGTATTTTAAACTAAAACGAGCCGAACACGAACGAACACATCTTAGTTCATATTCGGCTCGTTAACATATCGACCAAAACGAGCCGAACACGAACGAACCCATTTTAATTCGTGTTCCGCTCGCTAACTTATCGAACGAAATTAACGAGCCGAACACGAGTTGTTCGCGAACAAAGAGCCGTTTTGACATCCCTAATTAAGAAAATTAAATCCATACCAGCCCATATAAAATAATTCAAATATAATTGACAAATTTTGGGCACATAATTAACTTGAGCATCTTGATAAAAGAGATAATAAGCTTTTTAAGTCCCACATTCTCCGACATTCTGGTTATCTCTAACCGTTAATCCACTTTTTCCGGCACCTCTAATTCTTCTAACAAACTGCCAACCTAAAGCGGTATGCTCACTCTCGGAGTTGCCTTAGATGCTTCCAACGATCCTATAAAATTCGCCCATCCAGAAATTGCCCTTTTCGAAAATTTATCTCCTTTGTTTCCTGCCATCGTAAGGCCCAAATTAAATACATTAGCACGCACGCCTGGGAATCAAAATGCGAGACTCCGTAACTTTATATATTTCACCAATTTTTCGGATAATTACATACACACCACCAAAAATATTAGTATTTACAAATAAATTATTTAAGTGATTTTTGTGAACTGCTCAAATGATATATTTACAAGTGGCACGATCAAATTATTTAGATTTTGATATAAAATGAAAATTAAGAGTTCAGATTTTATAATAAATTTTAATAGTTCAGTTAGAATTTGAAAATGGATGAAAGACAGGTTTAATCTGTAAATAACAAATTTGGGGTGGTTTGTATGTAATTGTCCCCTTCCACGTTTGAAGAGACGAACCCCACAGAACGTTGAGTATTTCCGCCTCGCCCTTCTTCCCTTTCCCTGTTCTTCTTCTTCCTCCCTGCTAAGCTTCTCTCCCACCCTATCGTGCTCGTCCAACGAAGCCCTTAAGAAGCCTTCCTTTTTTATTGCTTCCACGGATAATTTTCTGTTTGGAGCCGAATCGGTTTTCAAAAATGCTGTCTTCCGCAGGTTATGGAGTGACTGACGGGCGGCGGTTAGAGCTAGCCGGCGACGGGGAGATAAGACCCAAACGCTCCCTTGCGAGACCGTCGCGTTTTCACGACTTTTTTTTTCCGACGATGAACTGGAGCGGTCAACGGTTTTTACGCGGTGAGAAACCCATCTCTGGGGGCAATGGTTCGGGTGATCGATCGACTGATCCGTATACCCAAATAGAGCCCCGAGGAGATAGAAAAGCTTCTTATTTTCCTGTTAGTGCTCTTCCCATGTCGTCTCACACTGGCGGGGAGAAGGAAACGGAGGCGGAGCAGGACAATGCCCCTTCTACGGCTGCAGAAGAGGCTGCTGCTGCACCGTTGGCTCGTCCGTGGAATCTGAAGAAACGAAGAGCTGCGTGTCAAGCTCTATTGGAGAACGGAAGGAACAAGTACAATTGCTCATCACCTTCTAATCCGCCATTGGGTACATCTGTTATGCGAAATTCGGCGGTCGGTGAAAATGGCCGGCGGAAGAAATTTTCTATTTCATTATCTCGAGCGGAGATTGAGGAAGACTTCTTGGTGTTTAAGGGGACGAAGCCCAGTCGAAGACCCAAAAAGAGACCCAAGGTCATCCAGAGGCAACTCGATGTAAGAGGAAATTTCATATTTTGAGCAGATGATTCTCATTCTTAGATGTGGTGATGGCAATTTTGATTTTATTTGGATTAATTTTGATCTCTAATTTTGAATTTATGTTCATTATTGTAGGACTTATTTCCTGGCGTATGGCTGTCTTTCCTGGCGTATGGCTGTCTATGGCTGTCCGAGATTAATGCAAAAATGTATAAAGTAGATTAATGAGTTGATTCTTCATTTATCTTTTTCATACTTCTACGAGAAAGTTTGAATCAACAAGAATAGGAAATAATTCTCTATCTAGAAGATGCAAGATGGGGTATGACATTATGCATTGTTAGAGTGGAGGTTCTTAAGAATTCTAAGATTCTGACGTTTCATAGTTATTGTTATTTTGTAGCTTCAGTTTGAATCGCACTTCAGTTTGTGACATTCATCTGTAAATTCTTTCATATGTAAATTTCTTAGTATGAATATATGAGATTATAAATTGCAATTTTATCTTCTCTTATTTTTTACTTAATTTCATCATTTCATTTGTTACTTTTTACATTTCATTTGTTACTTTCGAAGTCTCTTATTTTCCTTAATAGTCTTATCCTTGGAAAAAGTTCATTTGGTGTAGAGTTTTTGTAATTCATAATGCTCGGGGATTTAATTTATATTAATGATTTCATACTGGTCTTCGATATGTGGAAAAATCTTCAATATGTGAAAACTGGCATTAGAATTGTCATTACAGTAAAAAGATGCCAAATTATTTTCATTTGATTTTGTAGTTTTTTTAATTATTATTTAATTATTATTTTTTTTTATTAATCACTAAATTGAAAGAAAATTATTATTTTTTTTTTATTAATCACTAAATTGAAAGAAAATTACAAATTTTTAAAAAATTGTTGGTCTTTAACCTTGTGAAATTTATGGGAGATCACAATGGTTAGACTTAGGGTCCGTTTTGGGCCGCTTTTTTCGAGCGGCGCGGCCCCAAACTGTGAACGTCTATTGTTTTTTTCTCAACTTCGCGGTCGGATGACGTGAAAGCGGACGAAAAGTGGGCCGCGGGATCGACCCTGCGGCCCCACCTTTCGCCAAGCTTTTATTCCAATTTGATCCCCGCGTCGTTTCTACCCTGCGTTATTGGATGTTAGTGGAATGAGAAAGGTTTAGATATTTGATTGCAAAATTTTAATGTATACCAAACACTCAATGCTCACATGTTTAAATGTACAACACCAAGACATTCAAATGAATATACAGATTTTGTTAAGTTGTTTGTAAAATTTCTTATTCTTTACTACAATAGTGTTGGAGATTTTGTGATATGCACATATCTTGCATGAGTGCATCACTCTTTTTTTTCGTTATGTTTAAGACTGTATGAGGGCACTGATGATGATTTTGGAGGGTTGCAATCGTGTTCAACTGACCAATAATAAAATGTATATGTTTCCAATGGTGATGATGTGGGTTCTTAGGAGGGCCAAATGATTCTTAGTCAACCATTGCTGCCATGACCGGTTGAAAGCTTCTTTATTTATCTTATATTTTGGATTTTATTTTTATCCAGACCCTCATTTTGTTCCCCGCTTCTCATTTTTTTTTTCTCATTGGATTGTAGTCCTTACAATAATCTCTTTTATAAAATTGCTGTAGATGTAGTTTTTTAGTGGTATGGGAGAAGTGCAGCTGTCTGACTAGCTGTTTTTACTTATAAAATTGCTGCAAATGTATCCATGTTTATTTATTTACAAACTTATTTATAAATACTAAGCCAAAAATGATAGTGAACTCTGTCATATATTTTCCACTTACAAGGAAGTATTAAAGGCGTAGAATTATTTATCCGTAGCTGATGAGTTGTATCTTTGGCTTAAAACACTTCATTAATGTCACTAAAATTTTGTTTCTCAGTACTTTGTGCTGTAACTTGGCTTAGAATCTTTTTGTGGTTATGCTGGATCATATTGATATATTCTGTTTCAGGGGAAATTACATCCATATCACAGAATTTTCATTGATTTACAAATCTAACATCTAAAATTTCTAAATATTTAAGGCATTTAAACTCTTTGCACTCGAGATTTATAGTGAGTACTATTAAGACAATGCAAACCCAAATACTCTAGTGGCAAGGTGAAATTAAAACAGAAGTTCAGGATCACTGGATGATAAAGACCCCAATAAGGTGCAGACCATGGAGAGTTTTTACTTGTCTTTGTTAGCTATATAATTCATTATTGCGGATTAAATTCCTCTCAATTTACTGTTATTTAGTATTATAAAGGCCTTTCAACACTAGGGGGTTGGGGTCTGCAACTCTTAATGTGGTGAGATGGAAACCTCCATTCTACTTATCTTGGATATTCTCCATTCTATCTATCTTGGTTGATTACTACTCTAATGTGTGGGCATCACTACAACTTTACTAGCTTGGTTTTTGAGTTGTTGAATTACTAATCAGATTCAACTTTCTTGGACACTTCATTGCTTGTAGTTGTGTTTATGTGTTCAATCTTACATTCCTCGTTTGTTTGTTTGGGCTACACGCCTTTGTTAATTGTAGCAGATGGTTTGTGCTTATTTCTGAATGGGTCATTTTTAATGCTTCTTTTGATTCTAGGGTTTGGGGTCTACATCTTCCTACGTGACGAAATGTCAACCCCCTCTTATATGTATCTTGGTTGAGGTTATTAGCATGGTTTTGTTTGGATGCTAAATTACCTATCATATTTCATCCTATAAGCTATTTGGGGTTCAACTATCTAGATTGTATTGTCTGTTTTTTGGAATGTTACTTCTATGGTCATCAGTCTTTGTTCCCATACCATTTGGTTGGTTGGTTGCACATCTGTGGATGTCGTTTGGTTGGCTCATTTAATTTTCGATTTTTGCTATTTGCATGAGGTGCTTTCTCCGTCATATATTTCGCTATTGTGGATACAATTCTTTACCTTCCTTTGTTGTGTTTGGAGCTTGGTGATGATTGGATTATATGTAAAAATTCAATGTTAAGAGCTCTCTCAGCAGATTAGAACCAAGTTCCCAACTACCTCCTTTAGTCATTGAGTGGGATGGACAGGTATGGCTTCAACAATGTTTGGCCTAAAGAACTGAGAAGGGTGATCAAGGGTTGAAGGATGATCGATGGATGGATAGTTCAATGTATTGCTCCATTTATAATCACTGAACTTTTTGTTTTAATTTCATTAACTACCACAATCACCCATTTAGGTTGCATATGTGTTCTCTGCTAAAAATAATCAGAAGTCTATAATTGTCTAAAATTCTGAAGCTATCTGAGTTAAACGTGAGTAAATAGAGGGAGTTAAGCATGACATGCAGACATACCACTCAGTCCCATCCATATACATTTATAGCACCTAAAATTCATTTTTAGCATACATACCACCTTAACTAAACATGATAAGGTTTGTTTAACTTTAAAAGGTAATATGGTGGTATTTTTATGTGATATGAAAGGTTTTAGTAGGTTAAAAGTAAAAAAAAAAAGGTTTAGGTGTTAGATATGCAGACACATTCAATTTAATTTTATTGATTTAATTTATTAATAATTAATGATTTTTTCATATATTTTCAAATAAATCATAATTATATTAAATTATATAATTATTTAATGAGTAATTAGTTATTTTACAAACATATTTTTAAATTTTAAATTATTTGATAAACAAAAAAGTTTTGTGAATTAAAAAAAAACAAATTAATTTTTAATTAATGTTAATTTATTGCTGCATAAAATTATTTGTTTAATATAAAAAATTATTTTATTTTCTGTTATATACATAAATACTACATAGGAACAAAATGATCATTTTCCGGAAACAACTGTCCCACAGGTGTTTTCACACAGCTGCAACAAAAAGGCAGTTTGTTTCCCCGCAGCAGCTTCCTGGGGCAACGCGACTGTAGCTCAAAAGCTGAGAAACTGTAGCTGCCCCAAACAAAGCCTTAATCATTCCAATTTTCACTTAATTTTGGTTAATATAGACTTTTTAATAATTTTTTTAATGATTTAATGATTTTTTTTTAATCTCTAAATTAATTATAGGTTAACTTGTATATTTTTTTAATGATTTAATGATTTTTTTAATCTCTAAATTAATTATAGGTTAACTTGTCTTAGTTTTATTTTAATTTTATTTTCCTTATTTTATTAAGTTCTTAGGATTTTTTTTTGTATTATTTAGGATTTTTATGTAATTAAATATGAATTTTTAAAGTTCCAATATTTTTTTATTTAATTAATTAGAAAATCCTAGATTTATCTTGTTAACGTGCTCACTGACTCAACCACCAAGTTAACTTCAACATATGATAAACTCCACGCATCGATCCGTGGTTGACTTCCCTTTTCATGTTGGCATATGATCTTGTGCCTTGATCCATCTCATGGTTTCTTATTAGATCTAATCTACGCCGTCCATTTGAAATACATAGAAACATATGACATTCGTTCATCAACCCCAAAGGGACAGTGAATGAGAAGCCATCCATGATCAAATGGTTGGTACGAGCGATCATGTGCACAAAGCTAAGATGCAACTAAGATGCAATGCATATAAAAGGACCTCTAGGCTCTAAAGTTCACATTAAATAGCTAAAATTTTTATGCCATAATGGTTCTCTTAATAAAGGACTACGACTGAGCATCAAGATGAAGTTTTGAGCATTGAGCTTATTCCTTGATCCAAGAGGTTTGGTTTCAATTTGGTGCTTGAATCATTGTTGATGGGATCCAACACACCTCCTCTGAATTCTAATTGAAGTGATGTTGAGTTATTGTATGAACTTGGCCAGAAGTGTCCACGCGTTGGTCTATAGACGGGTTAAAGGGCTTGAGGTAGAGGCAAAATGATGGAGAAATTTGTTTTAGGGCTTGGGGAAGCATATAAAAGAGTCAATCTAAAATTTTGGTGATTTTGAGTTAAAAATGATTTTGGTTTATTGAGGCTTGGAAAATTCGATGTAGTAAGAGGTGCGTTAGGGCTTAAAAATGATGGGGAATTAATGAGGGAGATTGGCTAAGAAATTTGAAGGGTTTTTTGGCAAAGTTTGGCTACGGATCGTGTAGTATGGCTTAAATGAGGAGCTCTTGAGTTTGGACTTTTAATAGCCATGTGAAGAGATGGGGGAGCTTGTTCTTCCTTTAGGAGCTTAGTTTGGTCCTTGGGAAGGAACCATAAGGTTGGGGTGGGCTGGTTTTGAGTTTGGTTCATTTTTCTTTAGGTTTGTAAGTGGGTCATGAAGGAATTTTTCTTAGAATTGGGTCACCCCATTGGGATTTAGGTTTCTGAGGTTGACTTTGGGTGGTTTTGAATTACATGGGATGATCTTATTTTGTCATGATCAAAGATGGTTATGAGCATGGGTTTAAGTTTCAGTCACTTCAATAGCTTGGAATTTTTTTATTTAACTTGGCATGAGTTTTTTTGGTGCCTTAGGTTTGGCTTGGTTTTGGATTGACTTGATTTGTCATGAGGTGGATTGGCATGGGTTTGGCTTACCTTGAAAATTGGGTGGCATCTCTTGAGGTGGGTTTGGCTTGGTAGCTTGGCTCATGGGGGTGGACTTGGTGGAATTGGGTTTGACTTGGTTGAGACTTAAATGTAATGGATTTGGCTTGTATGAGGTGGATTTAAATTTTTGTGATTTTGGTCTGATTTGTTTTTTTTTTTTTTTTTGATAATTTTATTTTCATGTTTTTATATTTTCATGTTTTTAATGGATTTTCAATTTTGATTTGATTTAATTTTGATTGTTTTCACTTTGGTGAATTTGTTTAATTTTAATTTTGGTTAATATTTGGAGTTCATAATTTTAATAGATTTGTTCATATTAACTTTAAATTGAATGTGATTTTTGGTGGACTTGATGATTCCATTTAAATTTGGTTTTGCTTTGACTTTAGTTTTCATTTGACTTTAGTTTAATTTTGTGATTTTAATTTGGTTGAATTTAGATTTTGACATTGTTATTTTAAGTTGTTGTTCAATTTGAATTTGGTTGAATGTAGACTTTGACATTGTTATTTTAAGTTGTTGTTCAATTTGAGAATTTTAGTGATGTGTGATTTTAGTTTAAATTTTGAGTTAGGTCTATTTGATCTTCAATTTTGATGGTTGGGTGGATTTTAATTTTATTATCTTTATTATTTTCACTTTGTTATCTTTGAAATTATTGGTTTGAACTTTAGAAACAATTTTAAGTGACTTTATTTTAATTTTGATTTTACTTTTAAGTTTTAATAGGTTTTGATTTTAATTTATATTTGATTTGATAATTCTATATTTATATTTTGAACATTTCAATTTTGTGATTTTGCTTTGATGAATTTAACTTTTATAATTTTGGTAAATTTAATTTTTTTTATTTTAATTTCCACTTTGGTGAATTTATTTTAATTTTCTTTTCATTATTTGTGGTGTTAATAAGTTTTGATTCTAATTTTAATTTTGGGTCAATTTTCATATAAAATGGACTTCCTTGGTTTTAGTAATGTTTTGATTTGGTTATTTTATTATATCTTCTCTATTATTAAAGGATGAACTTTATCTCAGCTCAAAATGAGACTTATACCCAATGAGTTCTTGATGAACTAAGAAAAGGTTATCTAAGGAGTTAGGAGATGGAGGTGCAAAGTACCGAATTAGAGAGACAATAATATATGACATGAGTTTTAGGCTCATAGGGCAGCTTAAGACATTTTCGGGTCTCTATATGAACTCAACCTAAGCTTCAATAACTTAAGTTTAATCATCTCAACCAAGGGTTAGATATTTGTAGCCAACTATATAAAATTATAAGGATTTACGAGATGTTTTAAAGTCCTAACTTGGTGTTGGTTCCTCCACTAGCCTTTTAAGAGAGTCATGAATGAAACTCTAAGGCTAGATCCTAGGCTTTAGAGAGAGATGATAGAGTAGACCTAATGTAAAAATGAGGTCAACATCACCACTAAATTTTTATTGCATAATTGTATTTATTCTGCTTGGTTGAATTAAAGTCGCACATCATGCATGCGTGATTGCACCACGAGAGTCCTACCACCTTCCTACGATCACTACCACCACTAAAGTATTGTTGTCCGATCGTCACCCTTAGTTTCCGACTACATTTACTCAGAATCTACCCACCGTGACAACTACAACTTATGCAAACTTCATGGAGTGCACATGACAACTCAAAACTCCTCAAAAGCACAAATTTTTTAAACTTATAGATTTATATTTTCAAATGGCACAAGCAACATCACCCAAAAAATACGACAACGATTGATGTGTAATCAACAATATTTGTCATCTGCCACGAATCTTAGTGCATCTGCCATGAATCTTAGTGCATTTTTTTATAGTAATGAGCACTCTATATTCAAATTCTAGATCATATGGAGTTCTAATTTTAGAAATTTTATTTCAAATTGGTTGTCTTGACAAGACAAAGTCAAGGATGTCAAAGTTGGGCCAGTCCATGTCTAATTAAGCCCATATCAAGCAATTAAAGCATATTTGGAGCCTTTCAAATATTAATTGAATGGTTAAATGAACTCTAAATTGGACATACCTATAGTCTAATCGAGTCTCTCAATAAGAGGAAGCCAATGGGTCTAAGCTCGCATAATTCTAAAATAATACCCTCAAATTATTAGAAAAACCTATAATTAAAGGGAGATGAATATGGGTCGTCAAATCTGGTGGTTACCTAATTTATTAGTCAAGGAACCAAAATGCTCATTTCCTAGAAGCAACAAATAAACACACTCTCTTCACTTATCATGACGTTCTAAATCGAAAACCTTGTCATAACTTATAACATCCATTGTCGTTGACCACCATCAACCACCATCCACTAGCCGCCACCAACCACCAACGAACACCCCTATTCACGGCCACTGGAGAACTCTATTTGCTATTGATGTATCATAAATATTGTGTAACTTGTAACTAATAATGTTGTATTAATGTTGTATTAATGACCTTGACAACAACTTCTTGCCTTCATAGTCGCTGATGACTCCTACTTGCTAATGTCATATCTCAAATACGAATGTATTGTATAATGCAAGCAATGATATCCTCCAACCTCCATAACTGCCGATGACCCTTAATTGAAAACCCGACGATAATCTCTGGCTTGGGTAACCACTGACCATCATCGATCACCGCGATCGTCACTACCGACCGCCAACGACTATTACAACTTCCAACTAGAGCATTTTTGTCAACCACCGCCTACAGTGTCTATGACCAATTGTTGTTATTGCAACTACTGACTACAACCGTTATGGTCAGCTACAACCTTTGTAGCAACCAACTTTGATCTTTTTGGCTAATTATTCCTATTATAGTCAATAACTACCATTTTGTAGCATAATTATGGTTATTATAGCTAAAATTTTATTTTGCATCTATGATTATCAGCTTTATAATTTCATCTTCTCTAATTTAGAAGAGGGTTGGACCTATGTACTTACGATTGTATAGTTGATCTCTTTGACTTCGTTAAATTCTGTTATTGGAGTGGAAATTTGAAAAAAATTGATGAAAGAAGCTATTTTTGTAAATAGTAACCTTCTGAGTGATATGTATGCAATTGTCCGTTTTTTATTTCATTTTTCAATTAAAAATTTTTTGAGGTAAATTCGAAACTATCTAAATTCTAATATCTACAAACTTATGATTAAAACCGAGTCATCATATGAAAATTAAATCCATATCAACCCATATGAAATAATTCAAATATAATTGAAATATATATAAGAGATAATAAGCTTAAGATTTCATTAAAATGTTAACTATTAGATAAATGCAACCCCACATTCTCCGACGTTCTTGTATCTGACCGTTAATCCACTTTTTCCGTCACCGCTAATTTTTCTAACAAACCGCTAATGTATGAAAGAAGTGCTGAATGTGTAAATAACAAGTTTCGGGTGGCTTGTATGTAATTGTTCAAGAGAAGAACTTTTGAGTATTTCCGCCTGGCCCTTCTTCCCTTTCCCTGTTCATCTTCTTCCTCTGCTAAGCTTCTCTCCCACCCTATCGTGCACGTCCAACGAAGCCCTCAAGAAGCCTTTTTTTATTGTTTCCACGAATAATTTTCTGGTTGGAGCCCAATCGGTTTTCAAATGCTTTCTTCCGCAGGTCATGGAGTGACTGACGGGGGGCGGTTAGAGCTAGCGGGCGACGGGGAGATAAGACCCAAACGCTCCCCTGCGAGACCGTCACGTTGTCACGACTTTTCTTTTCCGACGATGAACTGGAGCGGTCAACGGTTTCTACGCTGTGTGAAACCAATCTCGAGGGGTGGTGGTTCAGGTAATCGATCGAGTGATCTGGATACCCAAATAGAGCCCCGAGGAAAGAGGAAAGCTTCTTATTCTCCTGTTACTGCTCTTCCCATGTCGTCTCACTCTGGCGGGGAGAAGGAAAAGGAGGCGGAGCAGGACAATGCTCCTTCTACCGCTGCAGGAGAGGCTGTTGCTGCACCGATGGCCTGTCCGTGGAATCTGAGGAAACGAAAAGCTGCGTGTCAAGCTCCATTGGAGAACGGAAGGAACAAGTACCATTGCTCATCACCTTCTAATCTGTCATTGGGTAAATTCGTTATGCAAAGATCAGCGGTCGGCGAAAATGCCCCGCGAAAGAAGTTTTCTATTTCGTTATCTCGAGCGGAGATCGAGGAGGACTTTTTGGTGTTCAATGGGAAGAAGCCCAGTCGAAGACCTAAAAAGAGACCCAAGGTCATCCAGAGACAACTCGATGTAAGTGGAAATTCCATATTTTGAGCCCATAATTATTATTCTTAGTTGTGGTGGTTGCAATTTTGATTGTATTTGGATTAATTTTGATCTCTAATTTTGAATTTATGTTCATTGTTGTAGGACTTATTTCCTGGCGTATGGCTGTCGGAGATTAATGCAAACATGTATAAAGTAGATTAATGAGTTGATTCTTTATTTTTCTTTTTCATAGTTCTGCCAGAAAATTTGAATCAACAAGAATAGGAAATAATCCTCTATCCAGAAGATGCAAGAGGGGGTATCGCATTCTGCATTGTTAGAGTGGAGGCTCTTAAGAATTCTAAGATTCTGATTTTCCATAGTTATTGTTATTTCGTAGCTTCAGTTAGAATCGCACTTCAGTTTACGACATTCATCAGTAAATTTCTTAGAATTAATATATGAGATTATAATTTGCAGTTTTACCTTCTCTTACTTTTTACTTGCATTTCATTCTTTACTTATTGACTCTCTTATTTTCCTTGTTTGACTTGTCCTTGAAAAAAGTTCTGCGTGTAGTGTTTTTCATAATTCACAATGCTTGAGGATTTAATTTATATAAATGATTTCATACTACACTTCGATATGTAGAAACTGACCTTAAAATCGTCATGACAAAAAAAAAGATGCCAGCTTATTTTCATTTGATTTTGTAGTTTTTTTTTAAGATTAATTACTGTTTTGAAAGAAAATTACAAAATTTTAATAAAATGTTGGCCTTGGGAAATTTATGGGAGATCACCATGGTTAGACTTAGTCATTCCAATTTTCACTTGATTTTGATTTATATATAATTTTTAATGCTTTTTAAAGATTTGATGATTTTATTTAAACTCTAAATTACTTAAGGGTTAACTTGCCTTAGTTTTTTCCTTATTTTATTGAGTTCTTAGGATTTATTTTGTATTTTTTAGGATTTTTATGTAATTAGCTATGAATTTTTAAAGATCCAATATTTTTTTATTTAATTAATTAATAAATCCTAGATTTATCTTGTTAACGTGCTCACTGACTCAACCGCCAAGTTAACTTCAACATATGCTAAACTCCACGCATCGATTCGTGGTTGACTTCCCTTTTCAGGTTGGCATATGATCTTGTGCATTGATTCATCTCATGGTAGCTTGTTTAATCTAATCTAGGATGTCCACTCAAAATACATGGTCATGATGAAATTTTCTTAGATTTGGGTCACCCCGTTGGGATTTAGTTTTCTTAGGTTGACATTGGGTGGTTTTGAATTCCATGGGTGACCTTATTTTGGCATGATCAAAGATGTTTATGAGCATGGGTTTAAGTTTTGGTCACTTCAATAGCTAGGAATTTTTTTATTTAACTTGGCGTGTGTTTACTTCATGCCTTGGGTTTGACTTAGTTTTGGATTGAGTTGATTTGTGATGAGGTGGATTGGTTTGGGTTTGGCTTATCTTGAAAATTAGGTGGCTTCTCCTTACGTGGGTTTGGCTTGGTGGCTTGGCTCATGGGGTGACTTGGTGGATTTGAGTTTGACTTGGGTGAGGCCTAGATGTAATGGATTTGACTTGGATGAGGTGGATTTAATTTTTTGTGATTTCAGTCTGATATGTTTTTTTATTTTTGTTAGTTTAATTTTCATGGCTTTAATGGATTTTGAGTTTTGATTTGATTTAATTTTGATTGTTTTCACTTTGGTGAATTTGTTTAATTTTAATTTTGATTGATATTTGGAGTTTATAATTTTAATAGATTTGCTTATTTTTAACTTTAATTTGAATGTGATTTTTAGTGGACTTGATGATTCGATTTAAATTTGGTTCGTATTTTTCTTTAGTATTACTTTGTGGTTTTAATTTTGTGATTTTAATTTGGTTGAATTTTGATTTTGACTTTGTAATTTTAATTTGTTGTTCAATTTTAAAGTGTGAATATGGTCAACTTGATTTTAGTATTGTTTAATTTGGTGATTTTTATTATATCTTATCTATTATTAAAAGATGAACTCTATCTCTGTTCAAAATGAACCTCATACCCAATGAGTTCTTTATAAACTAAAGAAAATGTTATCTAAGGAATTAGGACATAGAGGTGCAAAGTGCCCAGTAAGAGAGACAAAAATATATGACCTGAGCCTCTAGGTTCAAAGGGTAGCTTAAGACATTTTCAGGTCAATAAGAATTCAACCTAAGCTTCAATAACTTAACTTTAATCATCCCAACCAAGGGTTAAGGATTTGAAGCCAATTATATAAAACTATAAGGATTGAAGAGATGTTTAAAGTCCTAACTTGGTATTGTTTCCTCCACTCATCTTTTAAGAGAGACATGAATGAATATCTAAAGCTAGATCCTAGGCTTTAGAGAGAGAGGACAGAAGAGATCTCATGTAAAAATGAGGTTAACAACGTCACTAAATTTTTATTGCATAATTGTAATTTTTTTTTGGCTTGTATGAATGAAAGTCGCATGTCGTGCATGCGTGATTGCACCTCCAGAGTCCTACCACCTTCCTACGATCGCTACCACCACTGAAGTTTTGTTATTCGACCGTCACCATCACTTCTAGACTACATTTACTCAGCATATACCCACCGTGACAACTACAACTGATCCAAACTTCATGGAGTGCAAATGACAACTCAAAACTCCTCAGAAGTTCAATTTTTTTAAATTTCTAGACTTATATTTTCAGATGGCACAAGCAACATCACCCAATAAATATGACGACGACTGATGTGCGATCAACAAATTTTTTTCATCTGCCACAAATCTTAGTGTTTTTTTAGTAATGAACACTATAGATTCAAATTCTAAATCATCCAAAACCCAAATTTTAGAAATTCTATATCAAATTGGTTGTCTTGACAAGACAAAATCGATGATGTCAAAGTTGGGCCAATCCATATCCAATTAAGCCCATATCAAGCCATTAAAGCATATTTGGAGCCTTTAGATCAATAATTGAATGGTTAAATGAACTCTAAATTGGACATACCTATAGTCAAATGGAGCCTCTCGATAAGAGGAAGCCAATGGGCCTAAGCGCACATAATTCTAAAATAAGGAAAAAAACCTTAATTAAGGGAGATAAATATGGGTCATCAAATCTGATGGTTATAGAAGTTATTTTTCAAGGAACCTGTTGACCTCATTTTTGGTTGAGGTATAGTTTTTTTTCGCTTTAGTAGCCTAGGGTCTAGCCATAGATTTTTCCTATTGACTATTCCTAGAATATTAGAAAAGGAACCCTCACCATTAGAAATTCCAAATTCTTATTTGCTCAACTTGAAGTTCCACATATTGGTCCTAACCACTAGCACTCAGTAGGTGGGGTCAGTATGGGGGAACTCAAGGGGAGTCTCCCATACGACGGTCAAACCTTAAGACTAACCCTAGGTGGTCTGGTGAGGGTTGAAATGACTTGCACACAGTAAACTTTCTTGCATACCCCATACCTTAAGACCCCTTAATTTGGTCCCATGATTCCTTTTGGAAAGCTCGTATAAATGAACATATACCCCTAGTCTTTGGCTAAGAGGGTTAGAACCAACATATTGAGCATCCAAAATGAATCTTCATATGGCTCCTATTGGTTTGGCATGACTTCATGGCTTACTTGCCCGTTCTGGCCCAAAATCACCAAATTATCAAAATACCCCTATAACCAAAATTTTTGCCAAAAATCCTAAAATTGCCCAGAATACCCAAATTTGCCCAAAAATCATCTCAAACCACTCAAAACTACCTAAATTGACCAAAATTAACCTAAATCACCAAATTCAATATCCACAATTCCAATCTTCGCAAAATACAAGCTCAATTTGACCCAATTACAAGCCCAATTTCACCTAAATCAAAAAGCCCCAATTTTGACCATATGGCTAGACCCACCAAATTGGTCTTCAAATTCAATTCAAATCATTTGAAATCACTTACAAACTCTTCATGATATCTACCTATATCAAATTTAACATTCAATTAGCCCAAATTAAGCCCAAATTCAACCTCAATTTTAGAAGCCAAGCCCACTACATTTAATTTTAATAGCCCAAATCCAAAGCACACATGACATTTTTTTTTCTCTTCATCATCCATTTGATTAAAATCATTCCCTAAGTTTTAAATTGATGATCAAATCATTCTAAATAAAGCATCATGCCAAAATTTACCAAAAGTACCAAATAAATCCAAAATCCCTTCTCATGAAAATTAGTCAAGCCAAAGGGAAGCCTTGAAGCCATTCCCAAGCCATAGGTGAGCCATGTAAGCCTTGCCAAATCACCAAGCTATTAATGGAAAGAGGCCAAGCCACTTTCAAGCCTCATTAAAAAGGTTTAAACTCATGTTTAGCCAAATTTCTTTGGATGATGACTTATCCTCAATCATTAAGCTGAACGAGCTGATTTTTCTTCAGCCTGAACCAACCTTGGTGGGTGAACCCAGCCGAAACCCATGCTTTGACCCAAAGTGACCGAAAATGACCCTTCCCCCATACTATTTCAATCCAACACCTTTAAACATGGCCAACCCCAATAAACTTCGCCAAAACCAAGAACATGACCAACCCCAATAAACTTCGCCAAAACCAAGCCCTGACATCCCTGAGTCAGATGGTGAGCACTCCTTGGCCGACCGACTACCTTGGCTGCGCGAAAAGCCAAGCCCAAATGCTCCACCTAGGCCAAAACTCAAAATTGAACTCAACCAAGTTGGCTCATTCCAATTGGATTGTTGCCCTTCCTCCTCTCCACCTAAGAAACTTATGTTACCTACCAATTGCCCCTAATGGCCTCTGCTTCCCCCTCTATTTAAACTCACCCTCCATGCCCAAGAGGGGAAAGCTTGAAATTCCTTGGGGAGACTCTGCCAAATTGATCCCATAGCTTCTTCAACACCTCTTGAGTGCAATGCAACCATTATCTAGCCCTCTTCCCCACTGATAAGAGCCAATTTCTCACCCCAAATTTGAGCCCAAAATAAGACATCCCTCAAAGCTCCACCAAATTCAAATTAATTGCACCCAAACCATCCCTTGAGTGAGAAAAGAAGATTCCCCATAGAAGCCCCATCACCAGAACACCCTAGGGTGGACTTTGATCAACACCCCAAATCGGCATTGATCGAAATCATACCTAGGCATTTCACCACAACTTGAGGCATCATTTAGGAGCTCTTTGGACTCAACGCAAGCTTTTGGAAGCACCCAATCGAGGCTACACCTCTTGGGAAAAGATATTGAACTCTCCCCTTGAACTCTCCCCTTAAATCGAGCTTCATTTAATTCTCCATGCTTATAAACTTGTTTTAAGGCTTGATCAACCATGTGGATATGCTCTCCTAGTCATATGAGTCCATAGAAACAAACTACACTTAATTTGATTAACAATCGAGAGATATATTAATGTTTGAAGTTCGATAGCTCGCGGGTTCAGTCCA